TATATATACATATAACAAACTTTATAGTTTATAGATTGATTTCCAATAATATGCGATACTTCAAAAATGGCAAAACCTGAGTAACGACATAATGTGTAGTAATGAATAACTATTAATAAGAATAATTATTTAAAATACATTTATAAGAAAATTTTAGTTTAGCAAAAATTTTGTTACAACTAAATTTTAACAAAGTTGTTCAAAATCATTATAACAAAAAAATAATATAAGAAATTTTAATCATCAATTTTTAATTAAATGTTATTGTTTATATGATTCACTCAATTGTTAATATAAAATTATATCAAATTATAAAATAATTAAATTGTCTTAAAATAAAATTTAAAAAAATTGTCAATAGTTCAGTTTGTACGCTTTCATAAAAATTGTTGCATAGTTTTAGGAATCAATAAATGTTTAAAAAGTAATGGCTTTTCACCTCAACTGAAAGCAATTGTGGGGAAATTTTATTACACTGAAAAGAATTAAATATATTATATATTAAGGTTGATTCTAAATTTAAAAATCTTAAATCTTAATATATAAAAATCTTGTAATATTAAAATATTATGATTGACTCACAATGGGATATTTTTACCACTGGTTTCGTCGCTTACAGTTGATAACCAAGTGGTCAAATTGAAGCAATGACACTTCAATAATAGAAATGCACTCTACACTGACTGTTGTAATGTAGACTGTCTAGCTCAAAATTAATGAATAAAAAAATCTTCTAATGATTTGAATCAGAATAATGCGTACCCATCGACGATTGCTATGGCTGCAAGCTGCTCCAATGGGATAAAATATCTATATTTTATTTGGGATATACCATTCAACTGTAACATCAACCTTTGTAAAGTTACTCGTATTATATAAACATGTAAACATGTAAATGTAACAAGACTTGCATGATTTCATAAAAGTGGTTTTTCCAATAGTATACATTGAAACAATAGGTTTCCATGCTTGAATCGAATGGTTACCCATTATAACACTGTTGGTTCAAAAACCAACAAAGTTGTCAATGCAGTATTAATTTAGTATAACGCCAGAATTTGAGTAACGTTAGATGTTTGATTCAAAGTCTTTTAAGCAGAGATTTATGTCTATGCCCATTTCAATCTCTTTAAACATTTAAGTGCTATAAAGGGTTCAGACATTTACCCCATACTATGTATTTATAGCTGTTGTGATGTGGTATCTGCTCATTCTGAAATTGTCGGTAATACGGTTACGTATAAACTCGAAAGAACCAATGCAATTTACTACAGCAATGCTTTGTTGAAAAATTAGCTGATTCATATTTTCAACTTCAATTACCCAATTATACTGTTGCTGCCAAATTAACACACGTTAAATTCCATTGAATAACAGTCAAAACTAACGTTGCTGGTGCGAAATTCCAGACAACTATCAGGACTGGTTATCTTTTCAATTACAAAAAACATCCCTCTTAAACGGAGTTGATATTGCCGGCAAATTACCAAATGCAATATTCTAATAAACCGTTACAATGTCAATATGATGGATCTACCTAATATAACATAATGCCATCTCCGTCTGTTAGGAGGTGAAAGCTTCAATCTCAATCATTTTATTTGTGAGTGTGAGAAAAAATTTAAAATTATTAACATCTTCTTTAATTATGAATTTTTAAGTAAAAGACATTCTGGCCTCTATCTATATATACATCTTCACATTTCTATAAATTATTTTAAAGATAATACATTTTGTGAAAAATTGTAACCCTATTTTTATCACAATATCCGACTTACGTAAGATACAACATCAGTACACTCAGAAAAGTAGTTTAGTTGATTAAATCTGTTGATTAGCAAGAAATAAGATAAGTAAAAGTAAAAGATATCTTAAAATATATCTATGAATAAACTGATTGCATATAAAAAGGTGAGATTAAATCCGGTATTATTTTGACCTTTACAATCAATTAAAGTCTTAGTCACATTGCGTGTTGTCCATACCAAAAACTAATAACGACGATTTCTAAAAACTTATCAGAGATTGTCTTCATTCACACTTCTTGAAAGTGAAAAATACGTTTGCAAATTTTGCTGAACTGTAACCTTTAAAGACTTTCAAATAAAAATTTAACGAAAACAAACATTTTTTCTGTTATGGCAATTTTTTAAATATTTTTTATTAAGTAAAAACATCGATTCTAAATGCATTAACAAAGTTAAATTTAAATGTAAAATTGTTAAAAACTAACTTCGTTTTACAAAATGTAAAAGATTTGGCGAAATAATTTCGTACACATACACGAGACTAAAGTAAAAGTATTGAACACAAATTCTATTCAGCAGTGAGTATAAGAAACGAGCGAAAATATTCGAATTCAATCGAATTAAGTCCCTGAAGCGATCAAGTTTGAGTGAATTTATTAAGCTTATTAACGCCTCTCAGTAGTCGCGTCTCCTGCTGCCACCGGACGAATCATCATTCTTGCCGCACGTAGCGAGTAATTGGGACCACGAAAATGATGCCAATACATACCTTGAAATGATGGCGCACTGCTATAGTTGTCCAAGTAGTACTTGCCGAAAAGATTGCTTAAAATATTTATATTTTATTCGATAATAACATTAAGAGAATGCATTTGTATTAAAAAATATAATAAAACTTACCTTTGTTCGCACCAATTATACCACCAAGCGCCCATATGCGCTTGCGCGCAATTACACTCCAAGCAACCATCGTTATCCATATCGTAAGTTGAAAACTTATAACCAGCGTGATATGTAAGTGAATCTCCAGCAGTGCCTGTATAGTTTCCAAGTAAATTTAAAGCATATCCTTCATCCTCACTACCAATTCCAAAAAGATTGTATCTGGCATAGGCTTGCTCATTCGCAAAGTCTTCCAGAATTACGACTAATTCATGAACTGCAGATGAAGTGAGTGCATGTAATTTCTCCAGGCCTATAAAGAAGTCACCAGCCAAATTGCCGAAACCACTTTTATATTCAGCCCAATCTCGTTGAAAACTCGTGTCACCCAAGAAACGATTAAATATTATAGTCCAACCGCCGTTTTTGAAACTCTCATCACAGCGTACATAAAATGGTACGGATGTTTCTGTTAACTGTAGTCTTAATATGCTATTGTCAGTGACTGCATTCTGTGCACAGCTGGTGATCAGTGGTTGTGAAGTACTTGGAGGAGCATAGAATACTGGAGGTTGTACTGGTGGAAGGTATTGTTGATGTACGCCTACACCATTCTGTTGACGGCGCTGGAGGACGTTTAAGCGTCTATGTAAATGACTAAAAATATTTAAAATATAAAAAAAATGTACAATTTTATACACAATGTGATTATTTAACTGAATAGGAATGAACTTATAATTTATAGAACAAATATTAAATTTGATTTTGACGTAAGTTATTTTGTTGTTCGAAAAGCTCTCCATAAAAGATATTAAATATATTATATATATTTTCACATACAACTAAAATCGTAGAATATATAATATAGAATAGAACTCGTAAGTACTACATACAAAAATGTATGAATATGTATATATACATATATATATTTCAAAATATATATATATCGAAATATATTTAGAGAAGTGAACTCTATTTTGAGTTCTTGTTTGACATAATGGAGACAATAAAAAAAAACAATGCAATTAGATGATTGACGATTATAAGACTCAACATTACAATATAGATTGGTTCAAGACTCAATTCAAATTTTGATCCATCAATAAAATGTAGAATTTCCAATATGAGCTGAAAATAATGCATCAAAGCCCGGTATGAAAGTCAACAAAAAAGAAAGCAAAAGAAACAAAATTACGCTTTTAGTAGAGATCGGGTTAGGTTGGAATGGCGGCCTTGTACTCATGAGCGCCAACTTGAGCTCAAATAATAATTCCTTATGGTACCATAGGAAAATTTTGCTTTTAATGGAGAAAAGTCATAACCATGTTTACCGATTTCTTCGTTTCAAATACTGTTTCTACACCGTTTACAGTCAATTTGTCTCAGTAGGGCAAAATATTATACTAGAATACTACAAAGATTATAGGCCAGAATTCGATGAACTCATCACATGTTTTGGAAGACATTTAGTCAGCATAAAACGAAAATTATTGATCAATGAAAACATTATTCATATCGATTATTCACAAAATTCATAAGCTTCTAAATTATTAACTGAGTTAACAATAAAGAAGAATCGTTTCAATACCATCCTGGACATCCAAAAGCTTCGACCGTTCTACTAAATACAATTCAACCCAATAAGAATTACAAATATTTCGTTAAATTCGTTGTCCATATACCAGACCTTTTTTGAATAAGCAGAAAAATAATCAAAGTAGTAAACGCTTTGTATTTTTATTTAGACTGATCAGATCAAATTAGACTGTATATATTCTAGGTGAATAAAAGTGCCATTTTTAAATTAATTTTTTTTTTTAAAAATTTTTAATAAAGTTTCTAGCAGAAAGGTTGACCTTATCTACAATATTTAAGATATGAATAGTTAGATTTCTCTAGATTATTTTTAAATGCTAATTCATATTTTTAAATGTTAATTCACTCTCATTTTAGTAGAGAACGTTTGATAGCCGGAGCGCATCGGTATATCTGTACATCCATTATGCTTAAGCGCACCAGTTTCTGAATTTAATTAAGTGGTCTTAGATAACTTATCTAGTTGATTTTTGACTATGATAACTTCATATAGGACAATGGTGATAGTTTAATATGAATGGTTAATTTTGAACTTATTTCTTCTACACACTCAAAAAAATAATTTGATTGGTTTAATTAGATTTTAACTAAATCTCAGGTCAAAATATTCTTACTCGACTTATCACGTTGATTCAACCATATCGCATGTGGGTTTTTATATCTTCTTTACCACATGAGCTAACATTTTTCTAACAAAATGATTAGGTCAATTCAATTTGTATGTGGTTAGCACATATTTTTCGGAGTGTACTGTTGATTATATTATTTAGGTGTTTATTCCACACAAACCTTTAAATAAATATTACTCCGTGATATAGGACTATATGAGATACATATGGCTTCTTTGGATAATGGTAAGAGATTTACCAATGCACCAATTACTCATACCTTTTCGGATTTTAAAATTATTTCTTAAACTAAATTAATTAACAGAGAAACTTATTCAGTTGTCGCAAATTTTTGTAAAGAGGCTAGGCTTATTTCTCCTTCATGACACCACCATAAAAATTATGCATTTCAACCTTGTGTTACTATTGAACCAAATGCAATGTGACTCATATTTTTAATATTCGACGCTAATAACATTTTTCATTTTTATATCTATTATGGATCTAATGATGTGCAAATATGTTTACATATTTGGAGCAGCAGAAAATTGAATAATATCCAACAATTACTCAACCTAAGTGAATTTACATAGATTAACGCATAAAATTGATGAGAAGCGATAATTATTAATGAAGGTTCTTAAGGTGCTGCATCAACTGTCAAGACATATCAACACTTGGTTAAACTAAAAAAGAAGGTGATTGGCAGCAAGAGTCGCCACTGATCTTACCGCTGCATAAATTAAAGCTAAAATGCAGAGTCGTCGATTAACGAAGGCTTCAAAAAGTCAGTAATTCAAATTATACATTTTTTACTATACAATGCACAAATGTGGAATAAATTGATTAACGTGTACGTAAATAAATTTTAGTTAAATCATAAAAATAGATGCACATATCTCTACCGGAATTAGATATTAAAATATTTCAAATGGCTGGCTGCATATGATGACTTACCTCGTGGTTTGACTTAAACTGGTGATGTTTGAAACCAATTCATTTCGTAATGACTGTACTTTACGTGTCGTTTCTGTTAATAATGTTGCGATTGCATCCAATTTTTGAGAATCGGTTAACGTCGGTCTCTTGTATAATGGATCAACTTGATCATCTTGTGCACCTGCACTTACTTGACGTGTCTCGCGAGACTTAACAATCTCTTCTAGAATAAAACATAATTTACTAAAGCACGTTCAATATTTTTTTTTTTTTACAGAATTTATAGAATTGCGTTAGAAATATTTTATAGAATATTAGTGTTAAGGTTAATTATGCTATGTATGCATCAATCGTTTTTCAAATATTTTTACTTTTTAATTTATTACATTTTAATTAGTTAAGCCAATTTAAAAATTTCAAACCGACACCAACTTTTTTTACCAACATGCCCTTCAAATGAATTGCGATTGTTTCTTTTTCGTTTAGGAAAGTTATCACCTTTCAATTCTTCAACATCACGTTTTGTCATGCGTTCTATCAATTCCAATGAGTCCAAACGTTTCAAGAAATCCATTTGTTGTGCACTCATTGATTCCAAGCGACCCGTATTGCTGTCATCAATTTTGTTTAATCTGCAAGAGATAAAAAGAAGTATATACCAATTTAAAAAAGAAATATATTTGAATATTTATTTAAAATATTGTTTAAATAATTTTAAAAAATTTTTATTATGAATAATATTTTAAAGCAATATCAACAACTTATCACTTTCAAGCTATCTAAACTGTTGAACTCAGTCACAGAACAATTAATGAATATATACGTTCATACATAGCAGTTGGAAAAATAATTAGGATTGAATGAAGTACTTAACGTACTGTTTTACTACCACTTCATAAAAATTACATTTCGAAGGTTTGTTGCAAACTCAGCAAACTTCAACTCGAATACGTCAATCCTCGCAAAAATAGCTGATAATTAAACTTCAACTGTGCGGAGCTAAATTAATGACAAAAAAAAGAGGATACATCCTCCTACTAACATGTCTTGTGCGTATAAGAGCACACAAAGTTAAAACAGGGATATTATTCCTGCCAATACGAAGAGACGACTTCTCTTAGCAATGTTTTTTGGTTGGTCTTTTTCTACTCAAACTGGTGCTTAAGACTTTAGTACTACTATAATAATTTCACAAGTATTAACTTAGTGTTCCAAAGTGATCAAAACTCGAACCGATATACCAAAAAAATCTGTCCAGATATCAGTACCAAACTTTTGGGTAACTTTTATGTTCAAAAAAACTGATCTCTTCCATCATAAACGCATTTTTCAGGGAAGTACCAAATCAAATAAATAATAAAAGATGCCAATTGATCGGTGCATGTAATTGCCAATAGATGGCATTATTACGAATACCTTTTTTCAAAAAATCCACATACTTTAAGATGTAAACTAAATCTTAGATTATTAAACATCATACAACTTTGGGATATTTTTGAGAAGCTGTTTTCAATTACCATGAATTTCAATGAAAATTTATTAATATTTCTGATCATCGCTAATTCACTCTAAATTTTGGATGGAATTTGCTGTAGGCTACGAACTAGCCAATATAGTGTTCGCTATTTCGCACTATCGTTTACAAACCCTGTATTCCATTTATGAAGATACGGTCAACCATAGGGTAAATAATCATCACCACTTGATTCACTAATTGAGTATTTTTGTAAAAATGTAACAAAATTTTAAATAAATTTTCTTTGTTTTATAACTTATTTTTATATCAATAACCAGATCTTTAATTAAAAATTTACTTGGGTACTTACAAATTAAAATTCAAAAACTTTTAAGAATAATACTCTATATATCCTTTTTGAGTAAAAATGTATCAAAATATCAGATCTACTGAAGTGTCTCAGTGAAGCAAAATTAAAGCAAAATCAAGTCCATTATATTTCATGGTTGAGTTTTTAATAGAGATATATTTTGAAGAGTAGTGAATTACAACAACAAAATTTTATTATTTTTAATTATTGAATTCTCAGTTGAGCATACAGCTATTTCAAGTATTGCCAAATGCACATTATCAGTGATTTTTTTCTTTTTGAAATTATTTTTTATATTTAATTGTTCGCAAATAATTTTTTTGCACTGCAAGTATGTTAGCAAGGGTTGAACTCGTATCCTGCCAAATTTGTAGCTCAGAGTTAGTGTTCATTACCAAGTGACTTAAAGCCGTACTTGATTTGTTCGAACTTGGAGTTTTATCAATTTTGTTGTGAACGTTCTTTAAGAATTCCACTTGCTTGAGTGAAAACTCACTAAGTTGAGTTTTCATTATTGTGAAGTTAAAAGCTCGTATGTTAATCCTAATCGCTGTGATTGGTAGAGCCGCAAAATCATTATCCGAAAAAACGAGTATTTACTATATTACAACAGTTTCAAAATCTCAACGAAGCATAATTTATTGGTATTTTTTTCGGCACGTAGCATAATCATACTGTCACTTCCAACGCTAAAGGTCCATTACTATTAGTTGAAATATAGTAAAGAAGTACAGGGGTGAAGGAGTGATGGATCCACTTTAGTCGTGTATATTGTTGGAACAAGATGGCTACCTCATAAATACTATTTTAAAAACTTTTGTTTTTACTATTGTAATTAGAAAAAGCTGTGAAAGACAGCTTTGTGAAAGACAGTTTATGTTCATTACTTTAAACTTCAATTTTATGTAGAACCATTCTGAAGGCATTATATTCGTACTTATGATTTTTGCTCAGATCAAGACAAAATAAATCAAATCGAAATGTTGTCGTAATCGTTTAATACTAACTATAAATCAAAATCATTGAAATATTTATTGAATTTTAAACATATGACAATTGTCACAACTATTTGAATTATTCATCTCGGGGACTTCCCCCACATGGATTATATAAACTACCTCTGAAGTATAAATAACTTAAGTATTTTATTCATTATTAATACCAACATAAACACACACCCACATAAATGCGTAATTATATTATTATATATCAATAACTGCCATATAGACACATAATAATAAAAAAAGATTTTGGACTCGTTTGATATCTTTTTTTACTACATTGTATTAATTCATTTTTATGTATTTATTTTTTACTATTTGACTACTTTAAAATTATTTAACATTTTTTAACGTTTTGTTTTCGACGCCTCAATAAAACTGTTAATTATGCGAAGCGCGATGTTTTCGGTTTACTCGTCGTGAAGGTCGTGAACAAATTCATTCGATTTATTTCGATGGATGAGTTTCGTCTGAAGACTTATGCCTCACACAACGCTTGGAGAACTGAAATAGAACGCAATACGTACGTCACTCTGATAAGAAATACTTAAGGCAATTAATCTTTTATTACGAGTACGAATGTCTTTATCTAAATATGAAAAGCCGATCACAAATCTTGACGTAATAAATTTTATTAGCCCAAGTCTTTTTGGTTTTATGGTACTTAATAATACTATTTAATGCTTCAGTCAATTGATTTTATTACCATTATTTTTTTTTTTTTTATTACTTATTTTTCAAATACTAAATGCTGAAAGTATTTGTATTTCTATAGAAGTACATTTAAAATGAATTATTTCACAGCTTTTGAAATGGGTCATTCGCATTTCATATGGAGAAGTAAACATGTGCCCACTCGATATGGTGATATACTCGTGGATACAGTGTCATTGTACATGTGCTAATATAAGCTATAATATGCCAACCGCAGATGTTCGGTTTTGTAATGTTATTTATATTTAACTTTTTAATTATCGATCGCCCCACTAATTTGTTATATTGTTGTCTGGTACTGAAAAATTTAATGCGGTATTTATGGCGTACAATCAATTATAGCAGAAATAGAAATATGTATTCAAAATAATTTAAAATTAAAATAAAATTTGAAATCATACTTTTATTATTGTTGCCTATGAGAGTTTTGATTTACGATTACAATAAATTTTAAAATTTTTTATTTATTAAACCAACCATCTATGACTCCCAAGGCTCACTATAAAAAAATACAGTCAACGGCAATTGATAATTTCATCAATATTTTTATCAACTTAAGAAGTACTACTAAATTTTACAAAATTTTTTAACATGTTGACTACCAACTCTTATCTGATAGTAGGGAGAATGGTATAGTTCGAGAGAGCCTTCTAAGGTAAAATATAGAATTTCACGGTACTGATAAACCATACAATATCTTTCGGTTAAAGATAACACCCTTCATACGATGAAATGAAAGGTGAATGTGAGTACTTAACTCATTTTCTGGCAATTCCCAGACAGAAATACATTAAATGGACTGATGTTTGACACTGCATTTAACATGATTTGCATTTAGTATTCACACTTTTTGACGAATCTAAAAATATCTCTCGGTTTGTGAAAACAAACATTGTTCGGTATAATTAAAGTCAAATAAAATTATTACACTCGTTGTTTTGATAATCAAAAGTCAGAAGCAGATGTAGTCTACAGGTGTCAATATCTTATAATCCCATCTTTAAGAGGTAGTAGTTAACACTTGACCAAACAATCTGTTGATATTTTCTATTCTGACTCGAATGAGCTCTTTGAATTGTCTTAGATTTTTGATATTGGCCACAACATTCTCAAAAAATTTATATTCAATATTTTTAAGTATTAATGCAGTCTGACAAGTAGATATCTTATAAAAAGGTTCAAGAGCTATAAAATGAATTAGCGTACCATCCTCTGCAATTTTCAATAGTTTTCAAATCGACAAATCGGTTAGTTAAGAAGTCCGTCAAGCGTTGTTTTATTTATAGTAGCCAACTTATAAAAATCTTGCAGATTCGGATTAAGTAGGACTTGATGATCCAGGATTTATAACTATAGGTGCTTTATTAACGGATAAATGCATGTACTTTTGTGTTGCCTTTTGTAGGCATTGTGTAATAGATTTCAATGATAGCACTTTCTATAAAAAACTTGTTAATGTTAGGAACATAAGAATATATAAGGCTCCCGTTATCCTATTCATAAACGGTTTTGTTAATCACAAACGATCCACTATCACAATTGTATGACGGATGAAAGGTCATAAAGCAATTAATTATACAAAAAACCACTACTATGTTTATTTAAAAAAAATTAGTAAAAAATCTTACTAATCAATAAAATTTATCTCAATATCTTTAGCTCAAAATTCAATTCCTGCTATTAATTTCTCTCAACAAATCTTTCTATCGATTTCAGTTACGAACCAATATTATGCAGTTATATTCTGCGAGGACCCTGATATGTGCTATTTTCCTAAATCTTACACCTCACTTGAGTTTATAGAACTTTATTGTTACACTATACTTGGATCTGCTACAAAGTAGGTCGCAAACAGTTCCTAAAACCAGCGTCATCAGAAGCAGCTCTACACAGTGCCCACATTTCTTCATAGATATTATCATTCAAACTCTGGGCATTGTTCCCATCAAACCCATAGTGTTTGTTACTGCGAACTTAAGTCTCCGATACGTACATAAGTAGTAGTAAGACTACAATCCTATATAGCAGTATCTTAAAAGTTATGATAAGATTCTGGGGCGTACACAGTTTCTTGTATTTTTTTTTATGGATTTTATTAGTTGTCTATGCATTTTAATATTATATTTATAAAGTCAAAAGTAATGTAAACCTTTTTAACAAAACATAATCCCCTCAGTTATTCCTCTAATCAAAACAATTGTCATAAGCCTTTAACGAGTATCATCACAACCGATAAACCAGCAATGGTTGAAATGCAATCAAGGCGATCCAAAATGCAACAAACGGTCAAAAAGGTTATGACTTTTATATTTTGAAGACAAAAAAATAATCGTCTATCCAAATAACGTGTCATGTCATAAGTCAATGATATGTGATCCCAAATCTTAATAAGTTGGCTCAGTACAGTAATTTGGATCGAATATAGAAGCAAATATCTAGTTAAAGAGAAATGATCAATATGCTGACTATACCCGATCTTTGCGCAAACTATTACATTTTATTCAAAAAATTTTATAATACACAATAATTTTCAAAGTAATTTAATAAGTACTTTATATGCTTTAGGTAATATTATTAATTAGTATAATTAAAAAATATTTTTTAATGCATTTAGCTCTATCATTCGTATAGCTACAATTCTAGCTATTGTATTCTTTATTATATTAATCATTAAACTGCGTATTGCAGTAAATTCCAAAAATAATAATAATAAATGAAAATAAAAATAAAAATAAACGATACAAAACTACCATTATCTTTATAAGCATTATTATCATTTTACAAGTTCATAAGTGTCATCGTAAAGTCAAGAGACTTTAGATTAGTCATATGCCCGTGCCGTGTATTGCAAAAATTATTCATACAAGAAAATAAAGAGTTAAAAGAGTTTTTTTGTGTTATTTGGTATAAAAACTTTTAACAAGAAGTAAACAATGTTATCAGGAACAGTTTTATGCAAATAAAAATAAGTATTTAAGTGGAAATCATTTAAATATCGGAACATATTGTCAAACAAAATAAAACAAATAAAAATAAATTCATTTGAAAAAATTTCTTGGAATAATTAATAAATTAAAAAAAAAAAAAAGAAAAAGTTATTGAAATCACTATTAAAATATATTTAGTATTTTTAAAAAAATTAAAATTTTAACTATTATTTAATAATGAGTGGAAAAAAATCGTATACTACAAAAAAAAACATATCCAATTATTAAGTAATCATTATTGATAATTATTAATTTCTAGGTCATAAAATAATATAAAATTTATTTTCTTTATTAACGCATAAATAAGTTTTTATTTTGCTACCATATAAGTATCTGATGTACTTCGAGACTAATGTAGGTGGGTTTAAAAAATGACTCGATCTTACATGCCTTTTATGTATCACATGAAAGATTATTATTATTCATTGTTGAACACTTTATTTGAATAATGCAAAATTATTCTTTATATATATGTTTACAGCCTTTAATTTAAATTGACACATTAAAAATTGTTGTTGCAATAAGTTTTATATATAATTTAAAACTGATATATGGTTCAAATTGCATCTTACGACAATGAACCGATTTAGAAGTGCATTCTATTAAAACTTTATCATTAGCCGTAGTTTTCTCTTTCAGAGGTGTAAAAAAACAGCATAAAGTCTGGTTGAAAGATATTGGCATCACTTTTAAAATATGATAAATGTTTTTTTTATGTGTTTTTTGTTGTGTTTTCTACATGATATATAAAAATTGTGAACACTAAAAATTTATTAATTTAAATAAAAGAAAACAAAATAAATATTAGAAATGCAGTTGTAAGCATTTTTATCCTATAAATATGTATATACAAAAATTATCTAATTTATTTATGTATTTGAGTTTCTTAGTCAATAAAATGCTCATATGATTTCAACGGATGACTAGAATTTTACAACATATTTCCAGTGAACATTCACAAAAGACTGATTTTTGAATTTGGCTCACTAAAACTTATGATGTGAAACTTTTTGCGAGTAAAAACCAACTCTGAATATTTAAATAGCATTGTTGTTGCTTCAAATGTTTTCTTTCGTAAATTGCGAGTATTTTTGTGCTACTCTGAAAGAAAACTACGCTATTATTGTTTACTGAAAGCTGTATGGAATCATATGATTTTAATATAATGAAAAAAAGTAAAATCCATCTCTTAAAATCTCATGTATCTCATAGAAGTGAAATCCTTTTCGTTTGTATATTATTTGTTATAATCGTACTTATTTATGGCATAAAAAGAGTTTGGTATATAGGAAGAATATACAAGTGTGGCGAATAATTAGGTAAGAATTTCTAACAGATCAATAACATGAATAACGTATAGACATCGGCTTTCCTATTTTGGCATATATCAATAAAACCCTATTTAATACTAAAATATTCAAAGCCAACCACTAAGTAGTTCATAAAATCTTGAAATAATCTAGTATGAAATGGAATAAATAAATTTCAATCTATTTCTAAGCGTCAATGAATATTTCCCATAAAGCTCTCATATCGAATTTTATTGAAATAATTATAAAAAACAATTAAAATGAACAGCGGGATCGAAAACTTTCAATAAGCTAATCTGCTCTGGGATCGAACACTATATGTTCGGTCATTTTCGAGCGGGTTGCTTTGTTCACACATCAAAATTATTCCGTTGTTTTTAGTCCAAGTTTTTAATAAGCTGAGAATTCTTTTAAAGTCCGTTTAAGCTTCAAAATATATATATATTAAACATTAAACTTAAAAATTATTTAAATTATCTAAAAATAAAAACCAAAAATTAATATTGCATTTTACAAGAGTTCAATAAACCTTGTAAAATCAAACCTAGACTATATAGTATAACTTAAATTATTATCGAGTGTTTGTAGGTTCAGACGGCAAGTTTATGAGTAATTCTCTGAAATAGGATACGTGTTTGTCATAATAAAAGTGAATCTTATAGATAGTATTATTCACAGCAAGTATTATTCTTAACTGCTGAACTAAATGAAAATATTATGTCTTCTGAATATAAATGTAAGGATTTTCTACAATCAAGTTTATCTTTAAAGTGTAATAAGTCATTTAATGCCAAGAAAAATGGTTCCTTTACTCTAAAAGTTTTACTAATCAAAATCATTTATATTAATTTTAAATAGTATGTATGTACTATATCACATAAACTTATAATAAATTTAAATTTTTTAATAATTGGTAATAAACATAGTCTAAATATTTTTTTAGTGCTTTAAAGTATTAAATGTATTAAAGTCAAACATGAGAAAGCTACTGAATAAAAAAAGATATGTATTAATAAAAATAGCAAACAAAAATTTTATCATTTAAAATCCAAATATATAATTAATTAATAAAATTTTCATTGTTATTTTTATTATTATCCACCTCTCTTTATGAATAAAATTATGTTTTCATTATCTCAATACTAATACATAAACAGATGAGCATTACAAAATAATTTTACTCATCACACTGATCAAGAATATATATGTTAATATTTAATAAAATAAACCTAAACTATTGATACTTATACTATATATATCCGTAATTTAAAAGATCAAAGAAACCAGAATTTCAAGCTATTAACATAAATTT